AAAATGAAGAACAGTAAAAAGCCTCAGTGTAATTACAAGCAACAACTACTCAACACAACTTTCACATTCCATCTACCAACGACGGCGTCATCGTGTAGAACAGTACCGCTAGAGAGGCTAGGAAAGAGTGAGGCAAAAACGTGGAGCGCACCATCCAAAAAAGGTAAGGTTTGTATATTTGACCGGTATATTCGGATGGCCTAATCCTCTTGCCTTGAGCTGAATGCATTCAACCCCAACCCTGTGGTCTTCGCTACCCACAAGACAGTCTCGAGAGAGTAAACAAGAATGAAAGAAATACGAAAGCATTCAATAATCAAAAAGGGAAAAGGAGAGGAGGACGTGACACCTTCAACAGCGACTCATGCTTCAAGTAGGTAGTAAGTACAGGCAACCGAGAGCAACTCACCAACACTCGAATAAACTCGGATTTATTGTACTGCAGGGCGGAGATCCACACCTCATCAGGAAGACAAGCGAGGTGGGAGACGATTCCAGCGGCGAAGTAGCTGATTTGAATGCTTGAGTGACTCAGCATTTTACTGGGATGAAGGGAAGGAAAGAAGGGAAGAAAATAAGGCTGTTCTTCAGAATGGAACCAAAAAAATACTTGTGGACAAAAGGCCACTCACACACACACACACACACACGTACAGCACCACATAAAATGTCAATAAGAGACCGGACGCGTAATACTTTGTTCGACTGTCCATATGAGTGGCGGCTACTTGGATGACCATTTTGTGGCTACGGGCCTAGATGGTCGGGCCGAAAGCCAAGTATTATGACTTTAAAGGTCTAATAGAAAGCCTCAGGATGCTCAGTAGAAACATTTTCACTGCCGCTGCTAAATGAGGAAGGATTCTTTAGACCCGAGCTATACCACTAACATAAACTATTGACCGAAAAGACATGACAGTGTTTTAAAAGTGGAATTTGTAGTGAGAAACGTACTTGAAGAAATCCATCAACGGTTCAATGAGAAGAGTGTTTTTGGTGGAGGCTACCTCGGCCACATTGTTCTGTAAGTGAGGTGAAAGTGAAGTGAAAAGTTTGAACCTTAAAATCGCATCTACAAAGCTAATTCTA